TGTAAGCCTTTGACCATAGGATGAAGTTAAGAGCTTATAAAAAAATGGACTATTGTGGAGTACATTTCCAGCCACCTCTGATACACATGGAAGCTGGACAATAAATTAAGAAAACCAAAGAAGAACTGATGCCTTAGAATTGTGGAGCTGGCAAAGAATACAAAATATTCCACAGATCGCCAGAAGAATAGATCACTTCCATCCGCCGTGGAAGAACTACATGCAGAATCCCCTTAGAAGTGAGTATGGTGAGACTAGTCCCTGGAGAAGGATATCATGCTTAGCAAAGTAAGAGGTCAGCACAAAAGAGCAAGATGCTCATGAACGTGCTGACACAGTGGCTGCAAAATTGAGCTCCAGCACAGTGACAATTGAGGACTGGGCAGTGCTTTGTTTGTGGCACTTAGTGTCATTATGATGGGGAATGAATTCTTCAGCATCCAACACGCACAGCAACAACGTTACATCAAGCACATGTCAGCAAGAGCTTTCCATGTATCGCCTCGCTTACTTTCACAGTTGTCAAAGGAAATAGGACCTATTAAATGGCATAGCTCTATTGATAGGGAAGCCTGGCTTAGTAATTCTGTAGTGGAGGCTCTTGAAACCCAGCTTGTTTATATGTTGTCCTACATACAAAGAAAAGAAAGTTAATGGATGTTTTGAGAGAGAGTATAAACAGACTGCATGTCTTTGGGAAGCTAACGCTGGTGGAAGAGTAGAAAGTGTACTAGAACCAGAAAAGGCAGGTAGCAAGCAAACTATTCCCACAAGAAACCACAAAGCTCCTAGAAACACACTAGAGTTTTTCCTTGATTATGCTCTGTCTTATCCTTTTCATCCAATCTATCAACAATTTAATATAAACCAAATCTATCCACCCATTCCATCTTACTGGATCATCTATGCTTGTTCTGCCTCAAATAAAAGCCCGCTCTTATATCCAGTCTTTGCAAACTACCAGGAAAAAGCCTACACTGCATAATTTAGATGCCTGGTTTTAAGTTTTAGGTTTGTCAATTATTATGTGATTTTGAAGATGAACTAATTATTTGGAGCTTCAGTTTCCTTATCTGTAACATTGAAACTACTTCACAGGTGGTTGCAATGATTGAATGTAACATGTATTAATATTTTTAAATGCTAAATGATGATACAGGTGTTATATTAACAATCATCATTCATGAGAAATGGGCCACTCTAAATAGGAGCAGTCTTGGGAATAAATAGCTTTCTTTTAAACATTGAAACCCTGTTAACCATTTCTAATGAACACTGAGCTAAAACCTATTATGTAATTCCATGCTATAGTTAAATGGACACAAGGAGCATGGTTTAACCCTCCCTTGACTCATAGAGATGACAAACATCCATTTGATTCCTTATAATGGCATAGTGATGAGCAAGATCTTCGGAAATCCTTGGGTGCCATGAGGACCAAAG